GGTGACGTCATCGGTGTTGACGTCGTTGGTGTTGGTGACGTCATCGGCGTTGGTGAGGTCATCGGTGTCAGGGAGGTCATCGGGGTTGGTGACGTCATTGGCATTGGTGACGTCATTGGCATTGGTGATGTCATCGGTGTTGGTGAGGTCATCGGTGTCAGGGAGGTCATCAGGGTTGGGGACGTCAGTGTTGGTGAGGTCATCGGTGTCAGGGAGGTCATCGGTGCTGGTGACATCATCGGCGTAGGTGACGTCATTGGCATTGGTGACGTCATCGGGGTCGGTGACGTCATCGGTGTTGACGTCGTTGGTGTTGGTGACGTCATCGGCGTTGGTGAGGTCATCGGTGTCAGGGAGGTCATCGGGGTTGGTGACGTCATTGGCGCTGGTGACATCATTGGCATTGGTGACGTCATCGGGGTTGCTGATGTCATCGGTGTTGGCGAGGTCATCGGTGTTGGTGACGTCATTGCCGTCAGTGATGTCATCGGTGTTGGTGACGTCATTGGCATTGGTGACGCCATGGGTGTTGGTGACGTCATCGGCGTCGCTGGGGCCATGAGTGTCGGGGACATCATCGGCGTCAATGTCGGTGTCGGTGACGTCATCGGTGGGGTGACGTCATCCCATTGGAGATGTCATCGGCATCGGTGATGTCATCGGTGTTGGTGACGTCATTGGTGTTGGTGATGTCATCGGTGGCGGTGACGTCATTGCCGTTGGTGACATCATCGGTGTTGGTGCCATCATGGCGTCAGTGACGTCATCGGTGTCGATGTCGTTGGTGTCGGTGACGTCATCAATGTTGGTGACGTCATCGTCATCAATGTCATTGGTATCGGTGACATCATCGGCATCGATGTCGGTGTTGGTGACGTCATCGGCGTTGGTGACGTCATCAGTGTCGGCGACATCGTTGGCATCAATGTCGCTGGTGACGTCATCGGCATCAATGATGTCATCGGTGTCGGTGATGTCGTTGGCATCAATGTCATTGGTGTTGGTGACGTCATCGACGTCAGTGACATCATCGGCGTCGGTGACGTCATCGGCCCCGGTGAGGTCATGGGTGTTGGTGACGTCA